TTTCAAAAGATACTTTATACAGATTTTGAACTCCTCAATAAAGAGAGCAAAACAAAAAAAAAAGCACCCTCAACAAAATAACAACAAAGCAAGCTGTAGAAAGTATGAGGCTGTTAAATGCATGCTGGTATGCTAAGAAGAACCTTTAGACCTCCTGGCCTGAAATATTAATACAGACTCCTAACTTCTTTAGTGAGAAATAAAGACATACATATGAAGAGGTCCCTGTTGTATCAAGATTATACCCAGAGCTGTTAAAAATTACACAAAATTATACAAGAACCTACAAAAACAAGTATAACTTTTCAAGCTGGGGGGGAAAAAAAGAAAGAAAGAGTACAGACTCAAGGCTACACTCTACAACATGAAAGAATCATTGGTGAAAAAAGTTTGCACAGTAAATTTGTGCGAAGCTAAAGGGGAAAATAGTCCTGCCAAGCATGGAGAATATTTTAACAGCTTGGTCTTTTTCCCATAAAGTCCGTCAGCAAACAGAGGTCAAGGCCATTCATAAATTCTAAAAATAATATTTACCAGACCTTTATCTCTTTGGCAGGTATAATTCTGATAAGTGACTATTCTAGATAATATTTAACATAAAAGTTTATTTACAAAAATACTTGCAATAGCCTGAAATCAGATTTTAACCAGAATCACCCATTCAAGTCAGTGAAGGTTACACGTAAATGAAGATCGTATTGTTGGGTTGTTTTTTTGTGTTGGGTTGGGTGGGGTTTTTCAGGGCTGCTACAAGTAGGGTCTATGAAAAAAATGCTGATCCATCCATGTGAATGGCTCAGGAACAGATACGTATAAGAAGTCCCTAAAATATTGTCAATGTTTGATCAAAGATTTGACCATAAACCCTAAGAAGTCAATGACAGTCTTTCAGCACCTTTTAATAGACATAAATTAGACTCTAAAATATCACGAAATACTGTTTTGAAGAGAAATCTCCTTGTCCGAATGACAACAATTGAAACTTAATTATTGATAAACGTATGCAATTTATGTTAAAATAGTAAACTTTTTAAATAATAACACGTCAAGCTTTGTGAATTCGTCCCACACTGGATTACACCAGTGGAACTGCCACAAAGAAACTACAGTAAGAGTATTAGCCCTTTGTTTCCACTACAACTGCGGAGAAAAGCGAGTATGTATGTGTACATACATGAGTTAACATGGAAATTAGAGAGAAAAGGCACATTTGCAGAAGAAGCTTTAGGTAAGAGCTAATGCAGCAGAAAGGTCGTCCTCCTCAATTTTTACTGTTGTTTCAAGCAACCATGACATTTTCCTAGGCCATTTTGAAAATTGCATAACTGGCATGATCATGAGACTTAGGCTGGTACCCTGATTCAGATGAGCAATCACCTTAAATTGAAATCTTATCTGGATTCTTAGTGTAGGTTTTTATCAATGACATCACACAATCACGTATACCTTCTTTTTCAAGCCCACTTTGCTATTATTTAGTTTAGAAACCATTATTTCTTACAGACAGGTATGATTCACTCTCTATTAAAAATTAAACATGTAAAAATCTTTCAAAGACAAAGACATGTTCTGCATGCATATTAGCAGAAGCAGAACATTTAAAAGGGAATAAGGGAACTTGGTTTTGCTTAAGAGGCTCTCGCTCCCCAAACACCACAAGTTGCAATGTTATAAAGAAAGTTACCACCAACTAACTTAAAAAGAACCATAACCGTGGACGTCTAATAAAAGTAACTGAAGGAGAAAAAGAGAAATGTTCTAGTTGACAGTGGGTACTTGGCACAGTCAATAAGATAGTAAGGCATTTTAAATGCCTAAGCTATGTTTATTAGACGTTATCAGCAGGTATAACTGACTCAGGAAAGTTGATATTCTAATAGGGGGAAAAAAAATTAATTTTTACAGCAATATTCTAAAGATTCATTCTCAATGTGAAAAGTCATCTTCATTCATGGTCACCGACTCCTCTTCACCATGTAAGCTACAAGTCAGAAGCAGTCTAAAAAGGGTACGATATCGAGGTTGAGAAAATAAGGCTGCCAAAACAAGATGTATTCAATGCTGGTCATCTATTGGCTTTAGAGAACCATGTAGCCTATTTTTTCCCTTCACCTTAGTCTTTGCTTATGGCAAATTATATTGCAGGATAAGTATACCTGAAAAAAGATGAAGACTTAGAATACCAGAGACTTTGTATTGTAGACTTTGAAGGGTTAATCACATGCTGTAGAAGTTTGCAAAATGTATTATGCCTGATATGGTTGACACATCAGGGAAAAAAACCTGGAAGTAACAAGGATCTGGTTTGGATGCAGAGTCCAGAGGTATGATGCTGCTGTTCTGATGACATGAAGGAAGGGAGACTTTGCAATCCCTATACCATGCTGACATGGGACAGCTGAAACCCAGCTTGGGATCTTGGGTCTGACACTGTTTTAAACTATGCATGTTTTATTACAACACTTTGGAGCACGAACAAGCTTGCGCGTGATTTCCTCTGTTTTAGCTGGAATATGGCACAGAAATGAAGGGAAAGGTAAAGATCAATTCAAGGTTCATTAGCAAGAGTGAGCTTTTACATGTGTGACATGCTACGTTGAGTCTTTATGACTTGTCTCGTCAGCAGACAAATATCTGAGGAGGCACCTACACATTCAAATCTGTACTGCTAAAATGACCTCTACAGGAAACTTGTAAGGGCTTTGCACAGGTCCCCAGCTGCACCTGTTAGCATAAAGCCATTGCCAAGCAGATTAAGAGCAACTTTTAGTTAAATAATGGGGCAGAGTTAAGAGATTTGAAATGATGACACATGTCCTAATCTGAACTACAGATCAGGATGCCTGAAGTGTCACAACCCTGCAGATCTCCGTCACCTGAAGAGAATTCCACATGTGCAGTAATAGTTCTGAGCACTAAAAATTTAAGGATTTCAATCCTGCAAAGTAACAGCCACGCTCACCTGCACATCTTGCTGAGATAGCAGCTTAGAGAACAAAGACAGAAAAGTGTATCAAAGCCTGTGTCATCATCAAGCCTGAAGACACAGATTATCCATTTACCGGTCTAGAGGTAAATAGATGAGAAGACCTGCCATGGACTAATGTCTGATCAGAAGACTCCTTCAAAAGCCTTATGAGAAACTGTCATTTAAAACGCAACTATTGATGATAACCATGCTCCTACCAGCACTTCCCTGTTAATTGTGCCTGTCCCTGCAACGGATGACAACCTTGACTCAGCACAAGCAGCACTTACTCACACAAGAGCTCTCACGGCTGGCAGAAGCTACTTGCCCAAGTAACAGTGCTCAACCACAAAGGCAGTAAAATATTGGGTCTTTATTTCCAGGCAGTCCATCAGTCTTCTGGTGAACTTTTCTCACTATACAAATAACGCAATTTATGAAAATTTCATCAGGTAAAATAACTAGTAAACAGTAACTTCATCTTCCTTGATCCAAGAAAGCAATTTAAGCCAAGCCTGGATGATAACAAATATCCAGCCACGTGCAAAGTTCAGCATGAAGGTGGGATACAGCCCTTTCCAGCTGAGAAAGATATATTAAAAAGTGCGTTCTTTAGAGACCGTATTTGAAATGACAAAAAAACCCTGAAGTATGGCTTGCAAAATGATAAGGAGATTGTAAAGATATTGGACAGATCTGAGAATAAAATGGAAATTTTTGAAGTCTTTTTTTCCCCTCCCCAAAAGCACCATTATTTTAGGTATTATGTTTTTCACTGCAACACTATTTTTTCAGAAATATTTAGCATCATACAAATACGGGCAATGCTACGCATCCTCTTCACCCCACTCCAAGAATAAGGCAGATGCTTCATTCACTGAGGGCAGTTGCATATCTCATGATGAAAAAAAAAGACTTGAGAAAGGTAAATGCAAATTCTGTTACCGGCTATTTCGCTGAGCTTTAGCACAAAAGCTAAAGCTTGGTGAGCCTGTCTGACACACAAAGAGGCTATGTAACTATTCTAACTCAGTCATGCTGTCAGATGTGCTTAATAACTTGTAATATTGACTATGAAACTAGATAGTTTATGAAAGTAAGTGTCCCTTATGAGACACATGAACACCTGTTCACTGAAGAAGTACGTGCTTCCACGAATCAGCCAAAAAACACAAATTCAAATGACACTTGCATATTTCTCTTCCACCAAAAGTGAGGGGATCAGTTTATCCATTTATCCCTTTCAAATGCGTCAAGTTTTAACAGCCCTCCTCCTTCTGGAGGCATTTTTCTATATATACAAACCAAATGTTCCTACAGTTAAAATACAGAAATAATATGTTGCCACAGGCTTGTAAGGTTCAGTTTTTAAACTTAACCAGTTAAAGTCCGGTGCAAACTTATAACCATGCATCTTTACAAAAACGGATTCCCAACACTATCGTTTTCTTATCCTCATCTCAACATTTCATCTGAGGTACAACATATTCAAGCACCAGCTAAGAAAGAATAACCATTATAGGACACATGAGAGCAATTTTACTAAGCTCTCATTATGGGAAAAACAACATTTATAGTAGTAAGAGCTCATAAACATATTAAAGCTACACTTTCAAATCTAATAACAATGGAATATAAGATGTTCTTTTTAAATATTTAAGCCACAACTTCATTTTTATTAAAGGCAGAGTAAAATACAGCAAGAAACCAGCTAATCTAATGATAAGAATTGAAATGCGAACAAGGAATTATGCATCAGCTTGAGAAATACCACCCCAGTCCCCATTTTAATTCACACCTTGTTTGTTTAATGCAGGGGAAGAAGAAAAAAAAGAAAGGGGGGGAAAAAAAAAAAAATCAAGTTCCATAGCATTCCTAGGGAAAACGAAGTCAGGCGCTGTGATAGTTCATATGCAGGAGGAAGTGAGGTTTTAAGCCCAGTATATCATCCATGTCACTCACAGGAAGGTTGTTGATGTTATGGACAGGGGGAAAAAAAAAAAAAAAAAGTAGTAGTAATTTGCCTGCTCACCTCGACACGTTTTCTGGAATGTACTCTAGAACTGGATACCCATCACTTCTTCTGGATGCCAACTCCGAATGCGACTTCCAGGTCTCCACTAGCGTGCTGACGGGAGGGAACGAGCTCAAGTGCTGAAACGCCTGCTCTCGAGCAACCGGCCGCGACAAAGATATCGTGCCTTGGGCACCGATCCTGTAGTGAAACGACTGTCCACCTGAATTTACACCCACAATGGCAGAGGATGGTATACTGTTTTCTTGGTAATAGCTGCCATCGTCAGGCTCCTGCTTAATTCCCACAGGTAGGCCTGGATTTGGAAAACCGCTACCTTCACAACTTCCATCAAATGAAGAAACAGGTGGTCCTAAAATCCCAGAAAGAGAGTAATAGTCTTTGTCATCCATAAAAGAAAAATACGAGCCATCTGTAAATGGGAAAGGATTTACTGTTTGATTCCCTTTAAAAGAGGCACCAGAACAAGGATGCTTGGCCGACTCTTGCTTCACTGGTACTGAAAAGGGGGAATCGGAGTTTATTTTGCTGCTGTCACCAATGCACGCACTGCCGAACGAACCGTCTGGCTCGGGTTTTATGAATTGAACAAGGTTCATCTGACTGTTGTTGGAGATGGCATTCTCCATTTCCTCCACCTTAGGAAACGTGAGTTCTTGAGCACCCTTGTCTTTTGTTTCTGGACTGGGAACGGTATCTTGGCTTCTGCTAGGTCCTGCTGGCGTGCCGGAAGCCGGGAATCCTAGGGAGTTGTTTACGGGGCTACAGATGGACGATCCCACAGTGCTAACCGCTGGACTAGAACGAGTGGACCTATTGTTGGCATTGGAAGGGCTGGCAATGGAGCTCCTCGAGTTCAGGTTCGCGGGACTGGACACAGAAGATCGCATAGTGATATTATTGGGACTCGAGACGGGAGATTTCACGCTGCAATGACTGGGAGGACTAGAAATCGGTGATTTCATGCTACTTATAGGGCTAGAAAGCGGAGACCCGACGTTGCTAACGTGTGCGGGACTGTGCAACATAGACCCCCGGTTTTCAACGTTCGGCGAGCGTGACAAAGGGGTTCCCTGGCCGATGGGGCTGTGCACAGCAAAGTTCCCAAAGTTAGCAGTAGTTGAGGACACAGAGTTAACTCCAGCAGGACTACACACCGAGGAAGCCATGTTCTGAGGGCTGCAGCCCGAAGGGCTTTTCTCTTGACACACGATAGGGCTTTTGACAATAGCATGCATGGCACCACCGTTCACAGTGCTCCCAGAGTCCGACATCAAAGACCTCAAGGGCCTGCTGGCGCTGTGGAGGGGAGAAGCGCAATGGCCATTCTCCTTGTAGAGCTTCACCAGCTGCTCCACGTTCGGGTAGATCTTTCCCGGGCTCCCCTGGTTCTGCTGATCGTAGGGATAATCGGCGTCTCGTATCGAATCCATATATAAACCCATGGATTCGGCCACCGTTGCCGACAGCTCCTTTGACTCCGTTTCGGTTTTGATGTCAGAGGGCAAAAGACCAGGCTGACTGCTGTCTTGCGGCAGGCAGGGGAGTAGCTCAGGTTTTTCTTTGTTGTTTCCTTGAGCACTGCTGTTGGCAAAAGCGCCGGCAGCACAGCTTACGTTTACAATCTCCATATAGTTACTGTCATCAGTCTGCTCTCCAGCACCTATAGAAGAATACTCCACAGACTGAGAAACTTGACCCCACCGTCTCTCCATATCTAAGCCTTCTGGGTAGCTGTGGTATCCTTTTGTCTCCATAACTAGCAAAGACATATACAAAAAAGTAAAATTAATAAATGACAGGACAGTGTGACTTCCTAAGGAAATTTCCTAATTTCCTAAGGAAACAAGGGTATCCGTTCACTCTGTCTATCCTCCTCTCTGTCTGTCTGCCAGTCCTGTTTCCCTGCCCCATCCATCATCTCTCAACCATTCGCCCAATTTCAATCAAACCGAGGAAAAAGGTCTCACAGATATGGCAGCCCTATGGGTTCTGAGAGAAAACCAGTCGGCAGTTAGAAAAGACCCAAACTATTGCTCCCTGCCCTGCCCCAAAAGGAACGGCTCAGCAACGTCAGCACAACAAAAGCCCACCCTCACTGGCTGCAGCCCCGTGGCCGGTGCCAGCAGCACCGTGGGCTGCCCCTCACCCCGGGGCCTGTGAGGAAAAAAGGGAAGGGGGCAGCAAGGAAGAAGGGGAACCGGATAGGTCCTGAAAGGAGGACATGTTGGTGGGAGGCAGGACATAAACCCTATGGAAACTGCTCATCACAGCTCTGCTCCTCCAAGGATGGCTCTGCTCCTCCAAAGACCTTCCGCTGCCATGCTACAGGGACAGCAAAGCAAGGGAGGCTGGTGTCCTAAGAGGGTTTCTCTTCCTCATCCAGTGTAACACAGGATGCTTTAGAAGGAAGCAGCAGTTCTGAGGGGCTGGGCGCTGACTTGCCCCTTCACAGCTATACAAACTGCTTGTACAGGCACCTGAGGAGACACGAAGGATGGGCTGAACGGGGAGAGAAGTAGTGCAAAAGTTGAATGGGAAACGTTTCTGCCACAGAGGAAGGGGATCAGATGAGGCGGGGATGCGTGGCTATTAAATGGATCCGTAATTCTGCAAACCTCCATGGCAGCCAGCAAGAGGAATATATAAAGAAAAGTAAACCTTGCTCTAAAATAGACCCTAAAAAACCCCTCCCATCCTGCATGCCACTCTCTCGAGGCGGAGAGTAAAATGCACGGCCTAGCCTCCGTTACTCTGAAAATCACGTATAAGTAACAACAATTTTGATTTTTTTTTTTTTTTAAGGAATTGGCTCATAGTATCATTAGAACTGTAGAAACTCAAGTGCCAATAGTTACAATATCAATATTATGCAAATATTTTTTCCTTTAAGAATGTATTAATTTCCAATATTCACTTTTGTGTTTAATCCCTTTACTTAACACTACTTAAAAATGCTATTTTAAGCAAAACTATAAAAACAAAACAAAACAAAAAAACTTAAAATGAATGACTCAAATACTTCTTTGCCCTTACTTAGAACTATGGCCCTATGCCTACATTCCCCTCAAGCACAAATTTTATTAGAACATCATCATGTGTATGAAATCACATTCCTATAGTCTAAAATTTTCAGACAGAAGTGCCTACTTCCACATAAAGTCACTCCCAGATAATCACCTACCCCGATTTAAGTGCTGAGCAAGCCTAATTCCTAGAGAAATCAATTGCAGCTGTGAGTGACCAGCATTTCTGAAAACCAGGAAACTTAGTTAAGCCTTAAAATTAGGATGTAAGTGAATTTTAACCCTCAGAACCACTGTGTACCAGGAAATCTCAGTTACAGGCCTAACATTACACTGGTGCACGAGCTTTGTAGCGACCTCTCCCACAGCAGTAAATTTCAAACCTCATACATAATCAATAGGCGAGCATACTGCAAAACTTCAGCAAATAAAAATCTGGGTCACACAAAGGAAAAAAAAAATAAATGAAAATGCCCTGGTCCTGCACTTCCAGAGAGAGAGGCACTGTCTGGTAAATATATCCCAGAGGATCAAAAAACAGCAGAGAGATTATTTGTGGCCTGATACAAGTTCAGTTTAAAATGACAGATATAGATTAGTAAGAATGCAGCAGCAAAGAGATTTTTTGGGAGTGCTGGATTCTATCATCTCTGAGCGCCCCGGTGGATACTAGAACCGAATAATCATCTCATGGGTTCCTGATAGCAGAAGGGTTTGGTTTTGTTCTTCTAAAAAGAACTTATTACAACTTGACTAGCATGTTTATCCATGGCGTCCACGTTTCACCTACTGCACAGACATGCCTTTTTACTAACTTTCACTAAGTGAATTTGACTGTGGACCGGATCCGCGGACCACAACAGAAGCTATGTCGTTACATATCGGAACTGAGACCAGCTACATCTGATATTTTGCAGAAAGCAGCTTATATTATGAGCGCAGCAGTTTCTCCAGACTCCCCCAAGAAGTACTTGGACACTGCGAGTTACGTATTTCACCCCCAAACATATCAACAAACACAGCCTTCTGCAGTACGAGTCTCTGATCAATCAGGCATGAAACCAGTTTCACAGCAACAGTCAAATAAAAAAATCAAATGGTACCTGGTATCCCTGCAACCAAAAGGTCACCTAGATACGGGAAAATCTGAAGTAAATCCAGTTTCATAAAAACTAAACCGATGGCTCAAGCGACCACCCACTTCTTACTTCTCGGTATTTGTAAACGAAATTTTCTTTAAGTTTCACTGCCTGCGAGCCGCTTCGCTGACGTAAAACTGCCCAGGGCAGTTTCACCGTCAGAGACAGGCTGGGGTTTTCCCCCCTTTCTCCAGGGCAGCGGAGCGCAGC